AGTTAGATGTTGAGTGTGTGTCTCTGCTGATCTGAGCTCTGCAGTGCAGTGGGATCCTGCATCTTCCCTGAAGCATCTCCAGGGCCTAGATGACCACTGTCAATGGTGAGGACCCCACAAGGATGTGCTGATGGATGGGCTGATGATCAAGGAGACCCCATGGGGGAGGCTCTGAAAGGGAAGGATGTACCCTGAGTCAACCTCACCTGCAAGGGGCATCTCCGGGTCTATTTGCTGCTCTGTCCTTGAAATGAGAGCTATGCTCTTGAGGAGAGGCAGTTCCCCTTCCTGTGGGGCTTCTGACGTGACAACGTCATTATGAGAAGACCAACGTCTCAGTGGCCACATCCGGTGTGTCTGTCTGCCCTGCTGCGAACTGTAGTCTCCTCCATTTGCCCGGCCAGGGCCACAGGGCGGAGATGCCATGAACCCCACCCTCGCGATCCTGGTCTGCCTTGGTGAGATTTGAGGAGGGGTAGGGGAAGCCCTAATCTGATAGGGACTCCACCCTAGAGTCAGGCCCTGGTCTTTCAGGAGATCATCGCAGGTCTCGGGAAGCTCATGGGGGGGGGTTCTATTCAGGCTTCAGGGACAATCTCTCACAGGGAATTCTCTTCCAGGGCTGAGTGTGAGCTCAAGGACCGCAGTGCAGGCAGGTGAGTTTTTCTCCAGGTGTCTCAGGTCCCACTTCCTCATTGGGGACAGGGGAACATCCCAGGCAGATAGGGATGGAAAACAGATTTCTGGTCTGAGGTGTTGGGGCCTCTGAGTGTGTCCTGGGTCTGAGATCTGGGGAACTCGGGGTGGGGAATGTCTTGTGACCCAGCCTCTGTTTTCCTTCCAGAGACCCTCACCATACCCACCATCTGGGCTGAGCCAGGCTCTGTGATACCCCAGGGGATGCCTGTGACCATCTGGTGTCAGGGGACACCAGAATCCCTGGAGTACTGTCTGTATAAGTGGGGAAACCAGGAGCTTTGGGACAAACAGAATCCACTGGATCCCACAGACAAGGTCAAGTTCTCCATCCCACACATGGCAGAGCAATATGCCGGGCTATTTTTCTGTATCTATCTCAGCCCTGCTGGCTGGTCAGAGCACAGTGACCCCCTGGAGCTGGTGGTGACAGGTGAGAGGACTCAGGAGTCCCAGCCTCAGGCCTGGCCTCAGGAAAGGTGTCTGCTCTCAGGGGTGTCTCCCTCTCGCTGTCCATCCCTGAGGGATATGAGGGAGGTGTGAGCCCCATTTAACACGCTGCCTCCTCCTCTCCTAGGATTCTACGGCAAAACCACCCTCTCAGCCCTGCCGAGCCCTGTGGTGACCTCAGGAGGGAATGTGACCCTCCAGTGTTGCTCATGGGAAAGATTTGGTACGTTTATTCTGACTAAGGAAGGAGAACACAAGCCCTCCTGGACCCTGGACTCACAGCGACACCCCAGTGGCCATTTCCAGGCTCTGTTCCCTGTGGGCCCCATGACCACCAACCACAGATGGACATTCAGATGCTATGGCTGTTACAGGAACAAACCCCAGATGTGGTCACACGCCAGTGACCCACTGGAGATTCTGGTCTCAGGTAAGAGAGTCCCAGCCCTGTTTTCTCTGTGCCCCTCTAGTCAGCTAATGGCCCTGCCCAGGAGAGCCACAGTCTAGAATGAGAATGAGGGGCTGGCTGCAGGTGAGGGTCATCCAGAGGTGTCCAGTCCTCAGATAAATGGGGGACAAGAGGCTCCTCTCAGCCCTGACCCTGTCTATATCCTCATCACCGGAATACTCCAGGTTGGTGGAGGGACAGATTTTGGGGCCCACAGTGCAGATGAAGCAGAAAGGAGTGAGCAGAAGCGGGGACTCTGGGGGAACCTCGAATCTCTCACTCTCCTCTTGTCTTTTTCCTAGGACCCACTGTCCACCCCAGTCCCTCACCCACTAGACCAAACCTGACAGTTGGTGAGTCACTGAGGCTCCTTTGACCAGAGGGAGCACAGACCACCACAGGGCATTTCTGAGAGTCTCTCAGAGGATCTAATGCCCCCTCAGATACTCAGTATGGGCTTGTCTCCCAAGGGAGCTGGGAGTCAGACAAAGATGCTTAAGGGACTACAGGGCACCAGAGGCTCTGAGGCTGCAGAGATGAAGGATGGGGTGTTCACGGCAGAAGATGTTGGTGGCCAGCCTGGGGGCTCATCCTGGCTGAATTCCGGAGAATGGCAGCCTCTGCCTCTCACCTCTCCATCCCTGATGTAACATATGTGGGTTGGATTTAGTGGGGGGTGGGGGTCTCACAGCTCCCTGAGATGGCGATTTGGAAGGCTCCTTTTCCATCTGAGCCTAGGTTTCTCCACGTGTATTAGAGGAGAGGCCTGGGTCATATATCAAAGGACATCTCGGTTCTGAACCTTCAGAGATGTTGTCCCAGGTCTTCAGAACTGAAGGGCAGGCAATGTTGGGTTGTTGGGGCAGCAGGGAAGAGCAGAGCGATAACACCAGTGACAATCAGAGCACTTTCCTATCAGCCCTGTGGTCTCAGCCTGGTCTGATTGAAGGAAAAGAAAAATAACTAAGGGCTTCGAGGTCAGGCTGTACAGGATGTAAATTCCTGCTTTGTCACTTCCCTGCTGTGGGACTGTGGACAAGTCACATTCCCTCTCTGAGTTTCAGTTTTATTGCCTGTGGAACGTGTCTCCTATCAGCTCCCTCACAAGTTTTCTAAGAGACTTAGATGAGACCCCATAAGTGAAAGTCCTCCGTGTGGGACGGGCCCTCCAAGTGTCAGGAAGAGGCAGGTCCATCCTCAGTTTGTCCATCTGTGTGAATGGAGTCCTAATTCATCTTCTGCCTCTGGTATTTGCCTGGAAACTTCCAGGAGGAGGAGAGCCCAGCATGAGGCCTCTTCTGACCCCTCCCATCCTCCCACCTCTCGGAGCCAACATACATAGTGGCCCTGGTCCTGCCTCAGCTTGATCAATGTCTGTGAGGCTCATGGCTCTGACCACAGAGGGAGGAGACTTCCCCAGGTGCCTGCCCACTGATGTCTCAGCAGAACCTCCAGATCCTGAAGTTCTGACAATCAGCACCCCCATGGGAGGTAGGATCCCAGGGACCAACTGGAGCTGGGGATGCCAGCAGAGACCCCACCCCAGCCTATAAGCTGCCAGGGTCTCTTTCACTGAATGCTCTGGTTGGGAAGGAGGAAGGTCTCTGAGGGAAAGGTGAGCAGAATCATCCTTCTTCTCTTAGGAATGGAAACACATAGGGCCATGCTGACTTCATCCCATTCCCATGTCTTGTCCCAAGATGCTCAGTTGCTGCTATCTGAAGCTATGAGTGGAGGGAATGGGAAAGCATGAGTTAACCAGGAAACACAGGTGCTGGGGTGAGGGGGTTAGAGTAGAGGCAGCTCCACCCTCTTGTCTAGAGGTCAGGGGCCCTGCAAGTCCCAGCCCCTCACCCAGAGCCAGGTCAGCCAGCTCAGGGCTGGGAGCAGGTGAAGACACTGGTCAAGCCAGGGCTCCCAGCCTCTGGCCCCTGCACTGAGAGGGCAGGGGTCCAGCTGCTCACACTGGGCAGGGTGGACGCTCACTGGATAGTGAAATCTCCTTGCATCCTTCTTCAGCAGAAGGCCTGTTCCCTCCTGGGGTATGAGAACCAGGAGTTGGGAAACTCCCCCGGATCCCAGAGCAGGTTTGATCAAAGGCAGGTATGAACTTTGCAGCTGTGCCCTGCTCTCGGGTCCTCTTGTTGACTGGTAGTGCACCTGGGGTTGTGGACCAGGGAACTTAGGGTGGAGGAGAGACAGAAGAGATCAGGGAGGCAGGGGTCTGGGTATTCCCAATGAAGGGAGGGTCTCAGGAGGGCTCAGGATGTGACGTCCGCTGAGAAGGGGGACTGGCTGCCCCAGAAATTCATCAGCCCTTTCTGACTCCTAGCAGCTCCCGATGATGTCAGCCCGCCACCCACAGAAGCAGGTTCCCAGACAGGTAAGTCACCTGGGAGTGTGCCCAGGGGAAGTGCTGGGCAGGGACAGGTCCTGGAGCAAGTGGGGCAGGAGCTCCTGTCCCAGTGGTCCTGGGCTGGGATAGGTCTTGTCCCCCTGTCAGTGATGCCTCTGTCCTTCTTCTTACAGTCGCCACCTCCTCGAATTACATGGTGGTGAACTCTGTCCGCATGGGCGTGGCTGGTGTGGTCTTGCTGATCCTGGTGGTGATTCTGGCAGAATCTTGGCACAGTCAGCACAGGTCCCAACAGGGACCACAAGGATGGATACAGGAGGGAGCCCACCAGAGAGATTAGACCCCAGGGCTCCAGGAGGGACATCCCCCAGAGCTCTGAGGCTCACACAGGAGCCCAAGGAGACCCAGTGCTGGCCATGGGCTGTGGGCTCTGCAGTGCACCTGAGAGAGGCTGCCCCGAAGGACCCAGACCCCGTTCTTGGGAGCACATGGGATGCAGTGGTGACACAACCCAGCCACTCCTGTGGTAGTCAGTCTTCCACCTCTGAGGGTTTGCCTCCATGTCTGATACTCACAATCATGGCCTCAGCCCCACTGCATCCTAGATCTACCTTCTTTCCTTGTTCTAACACAGTTTCCATGTCCCTCCAGCCTCTTCCTTCCTCTTTCTTTTCCTTCTTCTCCTGCCCATTTTAGAGGCTCCATGAAGCTCATTTCCTCAGTGTTCCCTCCTCTCCCTTTGGTGATAGCATCTGGACCTCCCTTCCACATCTGAGCAGACTCCTCCACGTTGCAATTTCCCACTCCCTCCTCCTCCTGGAGCCCCACATTCCCAGCTGCCCCCGGGGGACCAGGAACTTGTCCCTCAAGGCCCCGGATCTCACTGACACCTGTCAGCTGCCTTATCCAGGGAGGCCCCACAGTGTACCTGCCCTGGGCATCTGAACATCCCATTTCTCCTCTTCCTTGAGTGGTCTCTGCCCTCCTTGATGTATCCTCTCCTCCTGTTACCACGGTCTTGACTCAAAAGGCCATGGAAGAAATACAAGTAAAGCCACAATTTGACATCCCCACAAGCCCATGAGGTCAGCTATGATTCCAATAAAAGAAAAAGGAAAGTAACAGATGTTGGAAAGATGTGAAGAAATAAGAACACTTGTGCACTGTGGGTGGGAATGCAAAATGGTGCAACCACTAGTTAAATGGCATGGCAGTTCCTCAAAAACTAAATAGGATTACCACGTGATACAGCAGTTTCACTTCTCGGTATGCACGCAAAAGAAATGAAAGAAGGGACTTAAGCAGATATTTACACACTCCCGTTCACAGTAGCATTATTCACAATAGCCAATATAATCACAAGGCTCCTTAAATGTGGAAGAGGGAAGCAGAATAATCAGTGTCAGAGTGATGAACTGAGAAGGACTCAACCATTCGGTGCTGGACCTGAAGATGAGGAAGGGGCCATGCGTCAAGGATGCAGGCGCCTCTGGAAACTGGAAAAGGCAGGGGAACAGATTCTCCCCTCAAGTCTCCAGGAAGGAACACAGCCCTGCGGTCACCTTGATTTTAGCCCTGTGAGGCCCATTTCAGACTTCTGACCTCCAGAGTTGTAAGACAATAAATCTGCATGGTCATGAGCCTCAATGTTTGTGCTAATTTGTTTCAGCAGAGGAAAGAATCTCATTCACCTGGTATCTGACACTCTTGGTCTCAGGAGACCCCCAAGCTTCTGGAAACTGATTCTGGTGCACACCTTTCCTTATAAGCTCTCTGATCTCACCCTCTGACATTTCACCTCGAACCTCTGACCACCAGTGTCCTGAAGCCCAGCCTGGCACACGTTCAGCCTCAGGGTCTGGAGGACGGTGTTTCGTCTTTGAGGCACTACCATGGAGGGTGAATGGTACCCCGTGCTTGGAGCCCAGTGTGGCCAGGGTGCAGGATAAAGGACGAGTAGTCCCACTCTTGCTGCATCTTCTGTGTGATGCAGGTTGAGCAGGATCATTCTCCCTTTTCCCGTTCCCTTTTCTCAGCACAGACAAGTGAAAGGTGAGGGGAGGGTCACTTTGCTTTGACTCAGGGCTTCTTCTCTCAGGAATTGTACCCAACCATCCTTCTGCTCATCTGACTCTGTGTCAGTGTCAGGGAGGGATGGGGGTTCTCTCAGAAGGAGCGCTGCCTGCAGGGACCCCCTGCATCCTACTCGGAGTAGAAAGTCTCCTCACTGTAGTTTTTGGCACTCAACTTCCCAAACCCGGCCACTGAAGACTCTTTCAGCATCACACTGTGCTTTTCGAGATGATTCCACTCATTATTGGGGCTCTGTCTTGATCTCTAGATTAAAATGGGTTCCCAAGCTCCTTTTGTGTTCCTCCTGTCCTGAACCAGGAATCCATATTTTCTCCAAGAGTTCTTGGGTTCCTTTAGTTGGGAACTATATTCAGGAAATAAGATCTGGGGGATATGTGAACTCAAGGCTACTGGGATTTTGTTCCTTATGGACCACTTAATATTCATGGAGGATGCAAAGTGTAAATTCACACAGATATTTCCAACCCTACTGTAACATTACAGGGTTTATTACCTTTTTATGTTGTACTTGTATCTCCTATATTTAAACCCCCAATTCCTAAGAAATTAATACCCTGACTTTTCTTGCTTTACCCTGTGACTGTTGTGAATTTGGTATAAGCCTATGTTTATTTTTATTTGTTGATATACGTGTTAGGTTGTGCTTTTCCCATCTTTTGTAATTTCTTGATGTGTTTTGGAATAACTATGATAATTATAGGTTTCAAAGTTAACACTACATAAAATGGTGCATTTAGAGATGACCCACTTCGTCCTATCCCCTTCAGCCTATGCCCCCACATATTGGAGGTAACTATTTTTGATACTTTCTGCTTTTCAGAATGAAAAATGATAAGTGAAAAGTAAGTAAACATACACATGATCATATTTAGCTACTTTCTTAGAAAGAAGTTAGCACATTACATCTATTGTTCTGCATCTTGCTTCCCATGTTTCTAGTTTTCTATTGCTCCTGGGGCAAATTACCACTAACTTAGTGCTGAAAACAGCGCATTCATCATCCTACAGTTCTATAACTTGGAAGTCTGACACAGGTCCCATCGAGCTAAATTCAAGGTGTCAATAGGGCAGCGTTCTTTTCCGGAGTCTCCAAGGGTGAAGCCATTCCCTTACCTTTTCCAGCATCTAGAGTCTGCCCACATTCTTCAGCTCAGGGACCTTCCTCCCTCTTCAAAACTGGCAATGGGGGGCAATGTCTTCATGCCACATCTCACTGACCCCATTTCCATCATCACATCTCGTCTCTGACCCTCCCCTCCTGGCTCCATCTTCCACTTTCAAGGACCCTTGTAATTACATTCAAGTTCATCTGGAGAATCTAAGGTCATCTCTCCAGCTCAAGGTCCTTAATTCAGTCACATTTTCCAAGTCTCTTTTGCAAAGTTATTTAATTATTCACAGACTCTGGAGGTTAGGACATGGAATCTTTGGGGGGCCATCATCCAACCACCACACCATGTGTTCTGGAAATCGTGACACAGCTGATCATATACATCCTCTTTATTGTATTTACAGCTGCTTAGTCCCCCAGATGCCCCCAAATAATTTCCTTTCTTCGTTGTTTTTACATTTAAATATATTTGGCATGTAACGTATAAATTTAAGGTGTACACCATGTTAATTTGATACGTTTATATATTGTAACATGATTGCCATTGTAATTAACACCTCTACCACTTAACAGGATTATCATTTATTTTTAGTAGTTGGAATAAAGTTCTAGTCTCTTAGCATGTTTGACGATTATAGTACAATATTGTTGTCTATATTCACTATACTGTGCATTAGATCTCTAGGGCTTCTTTACTACTCATTATAAGTTTGTACCCTGAAACAGCATCTGTCCTCTTCTCCCATCACCCATACCCTGGTAACCACTCTTTTATTCTCTGTTTTTTGAGTATGTCTTTTTAGATTCCACATATAAGTAATATCCTACAGAACTTGCCTTTCTCTGTCTGACTTATCTCACTTAGCATAACACTTTCAAAGTCCATCCATGTTGTTGCAAATAGCAGGATATCCTCCTTTCTCATGGTTGAATAATATTCCATTGTATATATATACCACATCTTCTTTATCCACTTATGAGCACTTAGGTTGATTCCATATCTTGGCTATTGTGAATAATGTTGCAATAAACAGAAGAGTGCATATATTTCTTTGATATCCTGTTTTCATTTACTTTGGGTATATACTCAGAAGTGGGATTGTTGATTTGTATGGTAGAATCTGTTTTTTCTATTTCTGGGAAGAACACCATTGGAATTTTGGTAGGGATGGCATTGACTTTATAGTGGTATTGGGTAATGTGACATTTTAATAATATTAATTCTTCCAATCCATGAACACAGGATATCTTTCCATTTATTCGAGTCTTCTTCAATTTCTTTCAACAAAGTCTTGTAATTTTCTTTGTACAGATCTTTCATTTCCTTCATTAAATTGATACCTAGATATTTTATTGTTTGATGCTATTGTGAAGGGGATAGTTTTCTTTTTCTTTTTACATGTCAGTTTATTAAATTTTTATTTCAGTTACTTATATGGTTTTATAAATATAAGTATATGCTGGACTGTAATATTCACTCTATTTTTTCTTTTCTTTTTTTTAAATTTTTTTGTTTATTGCAGTAACATTTGTTTATAACATTGTATAAATTTCAGGTGTACATCCTTATACTTCTATTTCTGCATAGATTATATCATGTTCACCACACAAATACTAATTACAACCCATCACCACACACATGTGCTGAATTACTCCATTCGCCCTCCTCCCTCCCCACTTCCCCTCTGGTAACCACCAATCCAATGTCTGTCTCTATGTGTTTGTTTGTTGTTGTTATTATCTACAACTTAATGAGTGAGATCGTACGGTATTTGACCTTCTCGCTCTGACTTATTTCACTTTGCATAATACTGTCAATGACCATCCATGTTGTCACAAATGGCTGGATTTCATCGTTTCTTATGGCTGAGTAGTCCGTTGTGTATATATACCACATCTTCTTTATCCATTCGTCCCTTGATGGGCACTTAGGTTGCTTCCAAGTAGTCTTGGCTATTGTGAATAACACAGGGGTGCATGTATCTTTACGCATTGGTGTTTTCAAGTTCTTTGGATAAATACCCAACAGTGGAATGGCTGGATCATATGGCAGTTCTATGCTTAATTTTTTGAGGAATCT